TTTTTTTTTTTTTCTAATTTTTTTTTTAATGTTTATTTATTTTTGAGAGAGAGAGAGAGTGCAAGCTAGGGAGGGGCAGAGAGAGAGAGGGAGACACAAAATCTGAAGCAGGCTCCAGGCTCCTCCAAGCCGTCATGTCAGCACAGAGCCCGACGCAGGGCTCGAACTCATGAATCGTGAGATCATGACCTGAGCCGAAGTCAGACGCTCAGCCAACTCAGCCACCCAGGCGCCCCTGAAGTAGAGTCTTAATAGAAAGTCCAATTGTTAAGTTGTCATTAGAGAAAAATCAGTTATGTGGGGAGATTTCAAAGAAATTCACTTCAGTTTTAAGGGATTACCCAGAATCACCTTAAATTCTTAGAAAGTAGAGAAAAAAGTAGAAACATGTTAAAGATAAAATAAAATAATTTTAGCAAAGTTGGTTATCAATAGTAGGGTCCCTTTCTGGGAAGACAAGCAAGTGTGGAGAATCTGAAAGACAGTAGGCCATTGGGATCAATTTTAAGAAAGAAACATTAGCTCAACAAGTACTCAAGATAAGCCTGCTGAGAAAAGGTAAGAGTAGTGATGCCTTTACGATCCTAAGGAAAATATCAGTGTGGTTGCTTGAGTGTTGCACTGAAGCAGCATATGGATCCAGCCCATCTTTTATGCCATGTAGCACAGACAGATGCTCTCTCTCTGGAACACTGGTTATAAATTTGGGTCAGAGCCTTAAGGTGGATGAAGATACCCTGGAGGAACTAAGACCTCCTATGCTCAGAAGATGAATTATTGATATACCACCACCTTGTCCTCTCTGCAGTCACAAAAGAGCATCCTGCAGTAAACAGAAATAACATTTATAGACTGGTTGACAGAGTTCTTACATGTAAAGATTGCTACAACCAAGAATTAACAGACATTTCAGGCAACCAACATTATGAAAGAGAAGCACAAAAAAGCAGTAAATAAAAGAACCTACCATAAGTAAGCCAACAGAAAGAAACATTTAAAAGTGTCACTGATGCTTCTCAAACAGATAAAAAAGAATGGCAGATCTAATGCAGAAGGAACATTTTTTAAAGAGCAAATTAGAGATCCTGAAAATGAACAATCTTATGGGTGGGCTAAGAACAGAGTGAACACAGGAACAAATTAATGTATGTTAACTAACTAGAATTTAAATAAAAATTTGAAAAGAAAAAAAAAAGAACAAATTAAGTTGGAAGATCTTGCTATTTTTTTTTTTGCAGGATATAGTACAAAAAAAAAAAAGATAGAAAATAGCATGAAAGAAAAGTTCAGCAGCATAAAAAAGATACACTGTTTTCTAATCTGCTAAGAGAAGCTACAGAAACAGTGAAATAAGAATGAATGGGAAGAAATACAGAACCACTAGAAGAAAATTTCGCATGAAAAGCAGTTGTCCTTAGAATGGCTGTGTGAGTCTGAGACAAGATGACTGAAAAATGTTAACATCTATTTATATAATTGTGAAATTTTTAATATCTAGAAGACAAAGTTCTAAAAGCTTATGGGAGAAAAATACATAGACTATAGAATAAAACTGATACCATTGTTTCTGTTTTACAGAGAATTTTTTTTCCCGAAGTTTTGAGGGTGAATAACTTTGAAGAATTGTCAATTTCATTCATATGTAAAAGCATAATAAATCGTTTTTCCAGGGGCACCTTGGTGGCGCTTGATTGCTGCTCAGGTCATGATCTCACAATTTGTAAGATCAAACCCCACACCGGGCTCTCTCTCTCACTTGGGATTCTCTCTCTCTCTCTCTCTCTCTCTCTCTCTCTCTCTCTCTCACTGCCCCTCCCCACTCGCTCTCTAAAAATAAATAAACTTAAAAAAAAAAAAAACATTTTCCAGACATACAAAGATTCATAAAGTTTGATATTCACTATACAGGACAAGTAGAAGAAATGGTGACTAAGGTTTTGGACTAAAGCAACTGTTAAGTAAAGGATGGCCATTGAGATGAAGAAGACTGTAGGAATAGGTTTTTTGAGAAGATCAGAAATTCAATTTTAGACATGTTAAGTTTGAGGTTTCTATTAGAAATCTAAGTGGAGATATTGGATAGATTGGTGAATATTCAAGTTTGGTTCTGTTATAGAAATATAAATTTGAGAGTTAGCATATGGAATGTTATTTACAAAATAATACTGGCTGAGATCACGAGAAAGGATCAATAGAAAAGATGAGAGATTATCTAAGGGTGCGAATTCTCTTAAAGAATTTTGAGACAGGGAATGCAAGCTGGTGCAGCCACTCTGGAAAACAGTATGGAGGTTCAAATTAAAAATAGGAACTACCTGACTCGCTTAATTACTACCAGGCATTTATCCACGGGATACAGATTGTTGAGGAAGGGACATGCACTAACCCAATGTTTATAACTTGGCGCTATGTCGACAAAACAAAGTATGGGAAACAGCCCAGATGTCCATCGACAGATGAATGGATAAAGAAGATGTGGTGTATATATACAATGGAGTATTACTCAGCAATCAAAAAGAATGAAATCTTGCCATTTGCAACTAAATTGGATTGGAACTTGGAGGGGTATTATGCTAAATTGAAATTAAGTAAAAATCATATGACTTCACTCATATGAGGACTTTAAAAACAGATGAAGTGAGCATAAGGGAAGGGAAAGCAAAAATAATATAAAAACAGGGAGAGGGACAAAACAGAAGAGACTCATAAATATGGAGAACAAACTGGGGTTACTGGAGGGGTTGTGGGAGGGAGGATGGGCTAAATGGGGAAGGGGTACTAAAGAATCCACTCCCGAAATCATTGTTGCAATATATGCTAACTAACTTGGATATAAATTTAAAAAACCAAAAGTAAAAAAAAAAAAGAATTGTGAGACAACCTCCTTTTGGGTTTCCAAGTTATAATCTTTAGCTGGGGTGGTTATTGTTAAGTCAGACCCAGAAGAAGTTTTTCGGTTTCTTGTTGATTCTCCTACAACTGCTAGAACTTCTGCCTGGTCTCCTGACTACTGGACCTGGCTTCTACTTGTCTCCCGGCCGGAGTGGATCATGGACAGCAGCCGGTGCAGACCACGGAGAGTCTTGGAGTCTGAGACCCGGCTGAGCCTTGCCAGAAAGTGTGCTGAGCACACGTGCCACCTGTGGTTACGAAGCAGCCCATCTCAGGGACCAGCAAGTCTGTATGTCTCTAGAGACTAGCCTCAGCGGTTGTGTTAACGCAGAGGAGCACAGTGTTGCCAAGGCTTGTAGAAGTCCAGGAAGCCGCCATTCACACATAGCCCAACTCTGCTGGGAAAGTGGCCTGTAGAGGTCACACTGTGAA